GCGAACGGGGACTGTTATAGTATTTTTTACCAACAATAGCGACAATAAAAAGCTGGGTAAATATTAATCCAGTACATTTATACATTTATTTCATAGAAAAAATATTCTAAACCATACCATACATATATTATGACATCTTAATGTTATGCGACATAATGAAATGTTTTTAAAAGATTTTTTACTTTAGAACTTTCATATTTTTCAGGTGTGATTTTATAAATTAAGAATTGGTTTTAGATTAAAAACGTTCCAGTCCTAAATGCCTATGGTCTAATTTTTTTTAATCTGAAAACATTTTTAGATTTTTTTAATATAAATCTTAATTTATAATAGTAAACAATATTATATCGTATCGATAGGTATTGTCATGATTAAGAATTATAATTTAATAAAACACTTTTAATTTTTTTAATCTTATTTTAATTGCCAATTGTATAGCATACCTGAAATTACTTTGGTCTTATTCATATAGGTAATTTAAAATGGCCTGTCGGCGTTATATGTTTTGTATAATCTTGTCGATTATATTGTTAAAAAGATAAAAGTTTAATAAATAGAAGAAAAATTATATAATACAACAGAGTAAATATTCCAATTACGAAACGCAAACGCTAATTACCTTTTGAAAAGTTAACACACATTGTTTGATAATAAAAAATTAAAAAGCAACAAGAAAGTTTCGCGTTATTTTAGCGACAGAACAGCTAAATCACCCAACGAGGGGTGGCTTTAATATTTTATCGGCGTTGGACGTCAAACGTGCCGTTAATTTTGCGCAGTATTTTGTTTGACTACCTACGAAAATACCAGGAAGCCGGGTTCACCTGAAAAATCGAATTATAATTTAATTTTCTAATTTAACCTGGATCGAAGCTAGAGAATACAGCAGAATAACCGCTAAGGGATAATATAATATTGACGTTTGAAACTCAAGTCCCATAGTTGGGCACATGTGTCGCATAGGACGTTATATATAATAGCCACCACTAAAATTCTAGCTACTGTACCAACTAATGACTTCCCCTTCTAAACTTGATGCCGGTGTTTCCGTTATGTTTTTTGAATAAATATACGCAAATTTGACAAACTTTGACATTAGAAATACCCTCCATAAAGATGGAGGGTGTCTCTAATTTCAAAAATGTCATATTTTAGTCCCCCGTGACCACAGTTGTTGTTGAGCATCCGAAACGTCGGGCCGAAATTAGAAGTAAGTAATTTGTAAATAAGTTTAACAAATATATTTCGACTATTAAACCAGTAAGTGTTTTATTTAAAAGGTTAAACCCGTCTGAAATAAGCACACAAGCAATAGAAATTTTGTTGCCAATGTTGAAAATAAAAGCGTGTACACAACCTTAAAGTCCCTTAAAACTTTAAAGCCTTTTAGTAGGATCGTAGGAACTATAAAAAGCGTGCACACGCCACATTCCTTCAGCCACGACGCTGGGGCGTTGGTTTTTTGCCAGAATTCGCGATGAAACGGCAAAGCCCTAGCGAAAATGTGGTTTCTACTTATGTTTTTTCTAACTTCCTTTGATACGTTTTAAAGGTATCTTAATGATATTCAGGTTTATCAAAAGGTCAAAGAGATGTTTTTCAGGTAAGACATGGAGAGAAATTATTTGTTATTATTATTTATTCATAATATACACTCTTGATAGACATAAATAGGTGTTTGGTTAGTTACTATTATGTCTATATAGTTATTAAGAACTAATTGACTATGTAAAAATTTTGAATATTCTTGTCTGTCTGTTCTTGCAAAAGTAAAGGCAGAACTGAATGGCATTGATTCTAAGAATGGCGTTTAAAATTTATGTCTTTAAATAGACATAGGTTTTTAACATATTATTTCATATTTATAATCTACAATTATTATTAAAAATATAATATATTCTACAGTATTTATTATCTGTAGAATTTATTATTAAAAATATAATTTATTATATATTATAGATTACCAATTATTCATTATCTGTGGAACTTTGAATCGGCTTAACTCGCTCTACAACCCGTCAGACAGAATATAAGGATAAAATCGATTCGTTCTCGAAGTACTTTATTATTACGGCCAATCAATTAGTTCGATGATTGTTCAAAATAGGACATAAAGGGTTTTGGAGTGGTGGAGGGACAGCTGAGTGCCGCGCGAGGACACTCCATAAAGCTTTCACGATAAACGTGGATCTTCGGCGTTGGCATTCAGTAAATATTTTTGATTTAAAGCCAGTAAAATTCATAAAAACATAAAACTTAAAGACATGGTTAACTCAATAAAGTATTTTTTGTTGGCACCTTAATTAATTAACCTAATTTAAAGTAGTATATAAAATAGAAATTAAACTTATTTATTAATTATATTGTGTTCAAAATCAGTTTATTCCCATATAATTTCTTAGTTTTACTTGTTTGCTTTCTGTATTATAAAAGTGACATCTATATTAGGGTTTATAAAACTACGGAATTCGTCACTGTGAGGCCCGACACTCTCTCCGCCACACGAGTGTGCTTGATGTATGAGTTTTCGATGGACTCTTGAGGGGCTTAAATAATACGTTTTATTGACTAACGCCTGATTTATTTGCGCGGGCGATATGGAAAACGTATCTACGTTTTATAGTGGAAAAGGACAAATTTGACGTCTGTTCTATACATTCGTTTACAAGGAATAGTAGAATATTCTTATCACCATTCTATTTTGTAATAATGATTATTAAATTTGCTAAATATAAGATAGACATGCATATACATACTGTCTGTAGTTTACGCGAAAACTATACCTTTAAAAAAAACTTTAACGGTTTAAAACGCGATGTCCCCCCGTGACCGTGGGGCTGCTGCAAAGCATCCGAAACGTCAGGCCGTAGTTAGAAATAATTTTCAAACAAGTTTAACTAAAATATATCGCGTTTAACCGATAAAGTGTTTAATTTAAATATACATATACATTTAATATTTACTAATAAAATGGTTATTATTGACGTTTTATACACTAATTTATATTAATAACGATCCGGATTTGATCTGACTCAGTAACGTGTATTGAATCGAACGCGAGGTTTTCCACCTTCGATCTCCAGGAAAAAAATCTTACTGCGAACAACGCGTTGCATAGACATAGTGTACCAAAACGGCACAGATAAAACGAAGCAAAGTTTCTTTCATTAGTACAGTACGGGATAAAAAAAATCTACTTCCTGACATAACATATTATTTTGTTGTTTTATCAATATTACTAATCTATCTGTACTCTTATTGAGGTTTCTAAGAAGAAGAGAAGTATTTTAGTACAAACAGAGGCTTACGTCGCGCTATTAGAATAATCATTATAGTCAATTTGAGACATTGTAACTGGAAAATCGAATAGATTTGCTCACTCCAGAATTAAGATGCGAAATAAGTCAACTGATTAATTTAGAACGCCGTTCCTTGCGAGCTGATTATATCTTATAATCTCTAAATTCGGGTCAGGCTCATTGGATTAACGAAAATTTCACTTCCTTTAATAATTAGCAGGCACTTTGGAAATATTATACAACTTTTATCTTCTTGGTGCCAATTTTTACTTCATAGGAGCGAGATGAAAATATCTATTATTCATACACATTTTGTGCAATGGGCGCCACAGATAATTCAACGCCTATTACGGTTCTCACTTTTTTTTAATACAGATTATGTTAGGGTTGAAGTAAAAATATTACTGGCTGGAAATATAATTTACTTATATATATTCTGTGTAAATTGTTTTGTTGCTTGTTAAATTTGATCTATAATAATATTGTATAGCTGATGAGTTTGTTTGTTTGTTTAAATGCGCTAATCTCAGGAACTACTGAGTCAAATTGAAAAAATACTATCAATTTAAAACGGGTATTTCTGGTAAAAGCGTTAGGGCTATATGATATCGACCTCATCAAAAGGAATGACTCTTTAAATTATCAAAATAAAGTCAGCAATAGTATGCCTATTTTTTACCGTAACCAAATTTGCCGAAATTAATGTATTATTATAAATTATTTGTTAGAGCTATAAACATAATAATATTAATCTTGCAAACAACAAAACAAACCAAAAACATAAAAATAATATAAATCCTATTCGATAAATATCTCATATTCTTTTAATCACGAACTTTTCTGATATTACAAAGCTTGTCTTACTGGTATGTAAAACTTAAGTACTTTCGAGAAATCCATACTAACTTAACCAAATGCGATAGTTTAAAATAGCAAAGAAATACTTGAAAAGCGACAAAAGTTTATTTCACGACTGGCCTATTAGAAAGCTACATTCATTAAACAACGTAAGCTACGTTGATGAATAGAAAAGTAAAGAATTAGTTAAAATGAATACATTTTAAAGCCAAATTAAATTGCTCTTGACCTAATAACATAGAAACGATATTAGTTAAAATGTAAATATATGCCTAAAGATATATTGATTTAGGTTTCATATAAAATCGAAATGATATGGTGATTTTAAACGTAATCAGTTGCTTTGATATGTTATCTGTAGTTTACGTAGTAAAACACTTAAACGGTTTAAAACGCGAAACATTATTATTTACAATGACCACGACCTAACGTTTCGTGACTTCGAAGATAAAACTTTTAACGCGTTTAAAACAGTTAAAATGTTTTATTCAGTTGCTGACGTGATTAGTAAAAACTATGTTACCTTTTTGGGGGTTAAAATACTTATAAGAAGTTTGTAAGTTATCGCTTGTATTGAATGGTTATTATTAATAAAATGTAATATGTGTGTTAAATTGAACTGCATTAATCATATTAAAATTTTGTTCTGGGAGTAGAATCCACGACGAAACCGCACAACACGACCGCCATATTAAAAGGACTTGTTGATAACTACACTTCCCTTGTGATTTAATTATTGCGGTTGTTTTATCGATTCCGAGAACCACATTTTATTTAACATATTATATGTATTTTAAATACTATCGACATTCGTTTGTCGTCTGCCTCTAGTAAAGTGTCAAAATGTGTATTCTATTAATTGTGTCGATATTATTACTTTTAAATGACAATGGTAATATAAATTTTAATTTAAATAAATTAAAAATACATGTTTTTTAGTCGAAAATAAATTGTTGGGTCCAAGTTTTGTCGACTTTTCAATGTTGCTTACGCCGCTTTTCAATGTCTGTATCCCTAAGGACTGACATATATACTATTTATATACAGAATGTCGACAGTATCGGTACGATTATAAATTCCTATTGGAAGTGGATGGGTGGATCAAATTACATCCGGTACCTGCCACATGGGAGGAAGCGAGGCTCAAATGTCAGTTGGAAGGTAAATCGGCTTCGGATACATCCGAGTTATGGATAAGAACGAACGCGGATATCGGAGGACGTATTACTGTAATGGTCTTACTTAAAAATCAACCGTTTATGCCCATCAGGTTATCCTGGCTTTTCATTTTATTTTTTTTATTTGTTAATTTCTATGCATTGTAAAGTAAAATATAATGAAATCTTACAAGAAAGTATGCCTTAATATTAAGCTTAAAATGTAACAGTAAAATTAAATGCTTGTGGGCAAATTATTAACAAATCAAAACATGGTTATCATTTCTTCATGTCCTATTCCTACTCAAGAACTTTAAAATACAATTCAATTTAAAAATAAATTTCAAATTAAGGCGGTTTCATGGCAGCCAATGGCAGTAATGTATTGCTAATAACTGGTCGTGGGTTGATCCCAGTCAAGTCAACATTTATATATATTTTTTTCTTCTGAAAAATGTCCTTCGTTAAGAGTTCGATATTTGAATATTCAAATATCAAATGGCGTTTCTGTTTCAGTCTGTGAAACGTGTTTCAGTATTTTAAAATGTCCCGTTCGTATGACTTCGTTTCAGTATTTTAAAGTATCTAAAACCATAATGGGTTGACGTATCTTGTTTTGGGTATTTCACGTAATTATCTATTGGGTATATCAAGTAAACAATACGCTTGCTGTGTCTCTCTGTTACGAAACACGTAATACTAAAGGGTACTGGCAAGAAACTCACCGCTCTCACACCCACTCTCTTTTATAGTTTAGTTTTCAGGCAAATGTTTTTCAGAAATTTTGGATTTCAGGTGCAATGTTGTCTTCACCACATACGATAAACATGCAAGCAGTTATGAAGAACACAATGAAAAACACAAGGGCAGAATTATCTGGTGTGTTCACTGGCACACACGCGAGGTTTTCAAAAGGTGACTTTTATTCCGTGGATGGTGAGTAAAATTACTAGTATTTGCAACTGGCTTTATTCCAGCTGTGGATTTTATTTTCTTGAATGTTCGCCGAATTCCAAAGGAGGCAGACTGAAATTTTCCAGGTATTTTTGGCACCAAAACATTCCTTTTTTAATGAAAAACCTAATAAGAAAATAGTTGTGTCATACGATTAAAAAAAACTGCGTTTGAAAAGTCTAATATTTTTCACATATTATTGCAAACGATGGCACTATATAATTTGAAAATCGATTATAAATAAAAAAATTAGGACTCGACTTTTGGTTAGAGCAACAGCACGACACGCGGTGGATGGCGGTGTAAGTCTTGCCCGAGTAATTTTTTTTAATTTACATACACATAAAAAAATATATTACATATTATGTTTATCTAGTTTAAGTAGCCAATATAAGTTTATATAATAATGTCTTAAAAGTTTTATGTCCAATATAAATAATGATGGTAAAATTGTTTCCTAAAGGAATACCTCTAACTAAAATGGCAGTCAGTTGGATGCCAATGGAGCCAGATAATGAAGGGAATATTGAGGAATGCATCTTGATGCTGGGAAATGGGACGATCGCTGATGTGAACTGTAACGACGTCTATCCATACATTTGTTACAGGAAGCGACAAAATGTGGCCTTCACTGAGTGTGGTACCATTGATAGGGGTATGTACTTTTGACAAACATATTTTGAAGCTAAACTTTAATAGTCCTCGTGATCAGCTTACACTACTCGTGTTTAATTCATCTATGAACTTGGGACTTTGAAATTTCGATACACTTTCAAATGCCCATAAACGTATAGGTCTATATGAGACCGCTAGAGGCAGAGTAGCCTAACTGCAATTTTATGACTCGTGTTATTAATATAGAGTCTAAAAATATTTATCTACAAGAGCATAGTGACCGAAAATTTTTAACATAATTCTTACACAAATAATAGTACAAATCCATTTTCGCCTTAATTAAATTATATTTAAACTTAATTGCGCATATTTATTTTCTCTGTTATTAGGCCACTCTCCCTCTTGCAGCCTCATATACGGTTTAAGAAGAAAAGTATTATTTTCATGAAATTATTAAATATCTTCATTAACTATATAGGATTTATATTATAATATGTTAAATACTGTCTATAGTTTACGCGAGTAGTAAACATTTCAATAAAACACTTTAACGGTTTAAAACGCGAAACATTAGTTAAACTTATTTGAAAATGATTTTTAAGATCTCCCCGCGACCACGACTGCTGCAAAGCATCCGAAACGTCGGGCCGAAATTTTGTTTGCTTATGACTGTCAGACTCTGCTAATATGAATAACGACTTATGACTACTAACAAATAAAATCTCTTTAAAGATTACTTCTTTAAGCTATATTAGTTGATAATTTTTTATATTGTTTTATTAATATAGATATATCTTTCGTTTAGATTACATCTTCGATAAGCGAACGGGCCATTGCTACAAGTTCCACACCGTCCATCGCAACTGGACGAGAGCCTTCATGACTTGTTCAGCTGAAGGGGCATATCTGGCTATCGTCAACAGCGAAACTGAAGCTGAGGTTATGAGGGACCTGTTCGCGACTCACCCAGCAAATACTATCAAATACGACACGGTCCTGGTAGGCTTTCATGATTGGGGAGAACGTGGTACTTGGACTACGGTACATGGTAAGGGAATGCTATTATAAAGCATTTTAAAGAATGGAAAGTCACGAAGAAATTGATGCAAAAAGAATGAGAAGATGCTAGTCGAGATATAGAGTCCGAATTGTTTCGTCGCGATGATTTTATAAAGCTGGAGAGCAGTTTGTTTATTTGAACGCGCTAATATCAGGAACGACTAATTTGAATTGAAAAATTCTTGTTGATTAGAAAATTGATTGAGGAATGCTATAGAACATATCGCTGTGACTAATAGAAGCGAAGATACAGCGGGAAATGTCGAAAACACGGGTAAATCATTCATTCTTGTGGTTCTCATTACGTACACTGCGAAAACGGTTTGAGATACCCAATGATTCCTTTTTAAATAATCTAAAAAAAGTCCGCGACAATATATGTCTATCTATATATATATCTTGTAAGATTAACTTGCAACAACGACGCGGTCGACGTCGTGGGCAACAGATTAAATTTATAGAGTTGAACAGTAGGTTTGCAAAAACCAAAAATTGATACCCAAAATAACTATTCTACGCGTACGAAGTCGCTGACTCAGCTAGTAACTAACAAAGATAGTCCTTTTAAGATTAATTTGCAAGAACTACGGGACGCAAGCGACGTCATGGGTAATAGCGATAATTTATAACAATGGGGTTTGCAAAAACTAATTTTGACCAAAATAACTATATCTCGTATCACAGGGCAAACACTCGAGGAGGCTGGTTACGCCAAATTTGAGAAGGGTCAACCTGACGCAGCGCCACCCGGGGAGTATTGTGGTGGAATGTTCAGAGGTGCAACCTTAAACGACGTCTGGTGCCATGAGAGTCTCGCTTTTATCTGCGAAAAGACCGTGGATAGCTTGATAGAATGGGATGACTATTCGATATAAATATAAATTTGAAAAGCATAAAAGTTTTAGATGTATTAAGTACCTTTATAGTTACTTCCCGCACTTAACCCAATGCTGGGCAATCATTTGGCTACTGGGCATTGACATAGATACATAATATTAAGATAGGGACTATATCCATAATACAATGGGCACCTTTAATTGAAAAATAACATATTGTTTATCGAATAATTAGTTTCAAAGATAAAAATACCTTACCAATATAATTTATTTATTAGAAGAACATATCGTATACTATGTTTTAAATAACTAAATAATAAACTAGACTAATGCTAAATTCAATAAATACAAAAGATATTATAAGCATATTGGCTTTAGTAATGGTTTTTATTTCAGTCAATATTCGAGAAGTTATATGATAAGTAAATCCTGTTAGGATATTTTTATTTTAATATTTTTTGCGGCCGTGTTGGTAATTCTTCGACCCGAAATTTCGGATGCTTTACAGCAGCCATGGTCACGGGGAGACCGTCTCTCCGTGACGTTAAACTAATATATAACAGCGTTTTAAACCGTTAAAGTGTTTTATTTAAGTATTTTGCGTTTCTGATTTGAAATAGAAGATTGTTTATAAGATAAACATGGTCTTCCTCGGCTTCCATTGGAGTTGTATGGTGTGGAAGAACTCGGCTCGTCACATTGCCAATGGCAAGTGTATACAAATCAGTATCTAAACATTGACTATAATTGGCCTCCAAAAAAATATCTCTTCTACGTGCTGCTAATGCTCAAAGTTTATTGAAATTGGGGTAGCATAGTCTTTTGAAATTCTTTATTTACACAAGTTATTTCGTTTTCGAAAATACCGAGATATTATCATAAATGTGTTAAATTGATATGGCGTAAATTACAAGTTAATGTCACAAGATTAATTGTACTGAAAATTAGTAGAAAAATGTGACTATATTACATACCAAGCCATGTAGTGTAGTGTGTTGTGATATATTTTTAATAATTCTCACGATATATAATTTCACAACCGTATTCAACCCACTTCCTTTGTAACATTGATAATTTAAAAACTTTTAACCACGAATCCAATAATGGTGACACTAACAACAGATAAAAAATAGAAACTTCAATCACAGTTAAGTCTAGATAAACTGCGATGTAATGAAAAGCATAAATTTTTATATTTACTTTTTCTTACTTTTTATGTATTCAAAATATGATGTACTTTTAAAAAAATATATAATAATACAGACCTTCTCTTTCAACGAATGCCCGAGTTAAACTTTGAAGGTACTCAAATTCTTCATGTTAGACATTCTTGTTATGTGAGAATGATGCCTCTTTTTAGTACACTAATTGCTTTCGTTTTATTATTTATATAAAAGATTATGGTATAATCTTTGAAATAAATTATATTTAGGCACTTTATAAAAATGATATATGGTTCACCAACTACTTCACCAGGTAGGTATGGTTCTATATTTCCCATACTGCGCAAAAGCATAACTTTTGTGATGTTCCAATCTTTTAATAAATTAGATTTGGGAGACATAATTATTATATATTTTATTCTATTATCTGTGTGCCTGTCTCGAACACTGAATATATTCTATATAATTGTAGAGATTATAATTGATTTTATTTTTAAAAACAATTGTACGTAACATATGTACAGTAACATAGATTAAGGCGTTATAAATAAAAATGTTTCTTAAAGAGCTTTAAAGGATTTTAAATATTTAATTTTCTCCTACTAATATCCCATTGCTTGGAACAGGTCTCCCTCCATGGGGTAAGAAAGCTTTAATAACGACTACAAAATTACTAGTAAATGACCTGAACCGACGATGAAACGAGGATGATGACATTTCCAGTTTCCAAACTTACATCAACAACATCCGGGCTGCTACAAGAAGTCTTTGAAAGAACTTTGTAACATTGCGCTATAAATCCTAAACCAAAGAGGCAGATAAAATAAATATTACTTGTATAATTATACAAGATAAATTTAACAAGCGTCTTAATACAATTGTGTCCACAATAGCTTAAGTAGTTATAAACACGATAATATTGATCCCGGTATCTTCGTTAACGAAATCGAAATGGATTCATTAATTTTGTCTGCAATTCAAATTTCCTTTGAAGAGTTGTTCCGTTCCTCAATTTAATTAGCCCGCGAGGTCGTAGGCCTGGTGTATAATTCGTGAATAAAATGTTTCATATTTTCTTAATTAAACTTCTGTTTTAGTTTAAATGTAGTCGATTTAGGTAATTAGAATGTATATAGAATATAATTAATATTGTATTTATTGTGTAGAGGATAGAATGGTGATTTTTATCGTTCACTAGCGGTGTCTTCGACTTTTTATTATTTAATTTTATATACAACCTCTTAAGCTTTATAAATTATACCCACGACGTCGTCCACGTACCGTCGTTCTTGCGAGTTAATCATAGAAGTTAGACCCGTTTCTATCGTATCGTAAAGTATTTACCGATAGAATCATTCAAAGAAGTACCATTCTTTTATACACATCATTGTTTTAAATCCAGGGAAACCCCTGCGAGCCCTCTAAAACAAATATTTATTTCAGTTTTTTTTACATATTTCTATCTATTTCTTCATCACATTGCTTACTTAGTTTCTGATGGCCCGTTATCTTATTTTAAGTTCTTATATTATATAAAAATATAAATCCAATCTATAATTCACCTATGTGTAAGTTTTCCTGGGTCCGAACCAAATACCTCTCACGCTTATTGCCTACATTGACTTTTGACACCCGTTAAACGCTGCGAACTATATTCAACTGACCACAGACGAAACTTTCTCACGTATCCGATACTTGTCTATGGTCAGTGGTTTCTAATAATGTATGACAATGTTGAACAACTCGTAAGTAGAGTAACTTGTCAAAGCGCAAGCAATATGATTTGGAGCGCGCGGTTGAGAGCTAACTGCATTATTCGCTCGGCTACTCCTGCCTTCCTCTGCGCGCCTGGTACCCACGAGTTTTAACGAGGCGTACTTGACCGGAAGTTAACTTCTAGTTATAAGTGCACTTATATTTGGTACAAGTATTGGTAAATGCTTTCTTTAACTTAATGTTTACACTGTATGCCACTTAAACGATTGGAAGTGATTTTGGTTTACGCAAGAAATACATTTTCACTTAACAATTATATACAGTAAAAAAGTAATTTAAAATAATAAAACATTCGTATATATACGAAATTTGACGGGCCCTTTGGTCTAATGTTAGTAATGTATTGCTAATTAACAAATTGTCGCGGGTTCAATCCCTATCGGGTTCAGTCCCCATCGGGTTCAATCCCCATCGGGTTAAATCCCCATCGGGTTAAATCCCCATCGGGTTCAATATGGTTTCAGTTACTTTTAAATTTTTCTGAAACATGTACTTTGTCAAACTAGATATTAAATAGGTGGTAGGAATATAGGAAACTCCGTCGAGTCTACGAACCATGTGTATAAATGAAAAAGCCGTGGAACTTTTCTGTTTCAGTCTGTTGATTTTCGTATAGTGGTATTTCAAGTGGCCCCCTGTCCTCTATCATTTAAAAGAAAAATAAATTAATCGTATGTAGAGAATAAAACACGTATGGAAATCGAATCTATGTCCACTTTGTGAAGTATAGTGAACTATTTTATACCTGACGTCATGTTATGTATAAATTTGAAAATAAAAGAAAGAAAAAACAAATTATAATGAAATAATCTAACAGGATGTGTCTCGAATTGCGTCCACTTCGTGAAGTAAATAGAAATTAAGTAGTATTCGTAAATAAGATGCAAACTCCTGTAATATTTTGCCAATTTCAACTATTCGCACACACACATACAAACACACACTTCATAATATAATCTCTATAAACGCTCACGTAAAAATATATTTCAGTGAACATGAATAAAATTTGATTCGCAATTTGTTGGACGCTTTCGCTGCGATGGCCCGTAGTGACCTAACTTCAAGCTGAACATTGTGTAGAAATGAGAAAACGTTTGTAATAATGCAAAGTCGGGTTCCTGACCTCCTAAGCGTCTATGTGAGGATTACGACTAGTTTATTTAAAGACAATTTGATTATATATATGCGATGTTATCTGCTATAAATTAGACACGTATATGTTATATATTAATCAGATAATAATTAATGTTTCAATATATAACTACCTAAGACGTGAAAAGGAAGATTTTGTTATATTTTACGATTTGTCTTATGGTTATGGTTATTAAAACTACTTATTAATAATGACTTTCTAGCACTAAATTAGTTTTGCGACTTGCCAAGTATAATAGAATTTAATTTCCCCCAACTCATATTGTGAATTGATTACTCTGCTTTAACATATGGCAGTAGCGTCAGGCCACCAGCAACTGAACTTCAGACAGACTTTATAATACTGAATTATACCACTCGGAGTTATTTGTTAACTAGAGTGCCGCTGAGACGGCATATCAAAAAAAAATGTTTATGCTAACTTGGAATTACTCTACGTGTCTTATTTAAAAAGAGTTGAAGTGTTAATTAGTATAATCACGTAAATTTAGAGCTTACGTTTCGTGTTCGTTAAAACTTGTTTAACTTCCTGAAGTTCCAAATTCAACGTAAAAAATATAAAAACATTCACTCGGTATCAAACATTAGAATTGTCAGGACTAAGCGTGAGTTTTCCGCGTTTTCCGGGAAAACACATATTTACTGCTATTTTTAGAAATCATAAACAAGTATAAAACACATCGAAACATGTGGAAACGCAAAATGGAGATTTTATTTATTATTTAAATAACAAAAAGTGATTTTAACTTTAACATATTTATTTTCGATAGATTTAACCTCCCATTAGATAAAAACAATTTTAATATGATAACAATAAATATTTCAATAAATTTTTTCAGTCAGACATGCTTAGCTGGTCTATAGTTTACGCGAGTAGTACCCATTTAAATAAAACACTTTAACGGTTTAAATTCCCCGTGACAACGGCTGCTTCAAGGCTCCGAAACG